TGAAATTGAGACTGCCACAAACCATAATTAGGAGCCCAGCTCGAAATAAGGGCAATGCCTTTAAACCTAGTTTGGTTCCCTTCTGTGTTTAAGCCCTGTCCTTCTCCATCTGTTAACAGCCAGCAATTCCCAGCATAGGCAAAGATGTAAAGATCAACTTCTGGCAATGATAAACCAGACACAACCCCCTGAGAACAGCTGTCTCTGAGAAATGCAGGAAAATAGCTCATCTGGTGTGTTTTCCAGAAGGCTTTGTTTAAGGGAAGGAAACATTTCCATTAGAGAACACCATCCACTGGGATAATCCCAGTTTGTAGCTATGTCAGCATAAGGCAAGGCTTGCAGAGGCGTTCTCACCAGTCTCTCTTGATCCCTCTGCCAGTCCTTTTGTTTTTCCAGCTCTGTTTGTTGCTGCTGTCTCCGCTCCCTCTCTCTCTCCTCTTTCTTGTTTTTATCTTGTTCTTTCATCGTCTTGAAGAGCGACTGCAGTTGTTCCCAGTCAGCTTTCAGCTTCACCTCTCTCTCCTTCTGGGCCTCTAAGGAACGGATTACCTCTTGCTTTTGACCCTGAAGGGATTCCAGCGCAGCTCGCAATTTGTCACTGACTTCTCTCTCCTTCTGGGTTTCCTCACAGCACATCTGCACTTCGGCCTCTAGCTGCCTTTTGGAACGAATGGCCTCCTGGCGTGTTTTCTCAACAACAGCAGCCAGCTCCATAGTTCGGGACCTCTCTTCTTCCAGCTGGGCTTGGAGCTCTCGAACAAAGGCTTGTTCCAGCAGTGAATCCCTGTGCTGACAAGAAGCACCTTCTTTCAATCTCATACTCAACTGTTCTGTCAAAACGTGTTTGTGATTCAAGGAATTCAGGAGCTCCAACGAACGATTTTTCTCAGCGTCCAAATTCCTCTGTAGCTCCAAGAGTTTGGTCTGTTCCTGAGACAGCAAAGCTTCACAGCGGGAGCGCTCGATCTGAAGTTCCTTGCGGAGATTGTCATTTACTGTTTGCTCATGCTCCAAGGTTACGGCCAGGTGGCTATTCTGCACCGACTGCAGGTTGAAGGCAGTCTGCAGCTCCTGTCCAAGAGGGGGAAGCACATGTTAATAGCCCAGCACAAATACCCATTCATGGGGCAGGCTGGCATTCAGCCACTCCCAACCCCCTCTTTTATTCAAGAAGAAATTCAAGATTGAACTAGAGTTGTTCAGGTATTAAAAAAAAAAAAAAAATTAAAATTACAAGTTTATTTTTTCTAATTACAAGTGCTTGTTTGCAACATGACAAATGTTCATTTTTTTTTTTGGAACAAAACCAAAGATTGGAAAGTTAAAATATCTTGTCTACAACTACCTGAAAGGAGGGTGGAGAGAGGCAGGTGTGTGTCTTTTCTCCCAGGTAACTAGTGACAGAACAAGAGGAAATGGCTTCAAGTTGCGACAGGGGAGGTTCAGATTGGATGTCAGGAAGTACTTTGTCACTGAAAGGGTTCTCAGGCATTGGAAGGGGTTGCCTAGGGAAGTGGTGGAGTCCCCATCCATGGAGGGATTTAAAAGACGGGTAGATGAGGTGCTCAGAGATCTGGTTTAGTAGTGGACAGGTACAGTTGGACTCTATGATCTCAAAGGGCTTTTCCAACCAAACGATTCTGTGATTTTTTCCTCCAGTACCTTATTTTTTCTTCAATTAGTAAAACCATCATTAGGAAATCACTATTCTTTACATCACTCAAGTGATGTAATGTGATGTACCTTCATAAGTGATGTCTGAAGCAGAAATAACCCATGTTGATTCAAAAAGAACAAAAAAATCTAAGCAGTAAGAGTAGATGTAAAACCCCTGGATTTTACAGCCCATCTCTTCAGAGCACACAGTACAGACTGGCATTTATTTAGTAATTTATAATCCGTGCCTAGGTCCATTTTGGGAGCCAGCCTTTCTTCAGTAGGAAAGGGAGCGAATGAGTGGGCAGCCCCAGGGCTCTTGCAGATAGTCAGAGGGACATTGGTGTCCTCCCAGCAGGGGGGTCTGCCCTACATCCTGCCAGCACCACCTCTCCTCTGGTTGTGGAGAAAGCCAGGTGAGATGCTAAGAGGCATCAACTTTCTGTAGTAGGGCTTCAAGGGAGGATTTGGGAATGCAAGACTGCAGCAACAGGAGCTGGGAATGGTTTAATCTGGTGCACGACTACACCTGGGGCAACACAGGTTTCTCTTCGCCTTAGCTCAGAAGAGCCCTGCCTTCCTCACATGAGCAGTCTTTTTAAAAGACGGAGAATGTCAGCACCATGTCCTACCATGCAAGCAGTAACAAAAATCTCAACAAACACAAACCACCCACAAACCTAAACACCTACCAGAAGGATGATGTGAGAGGCCAGGCTACAAGGAAATAGGGTCAGAATTGTGTTTCCTTACTTAGGGCATTTAATGAATGATACCATCCTGAAAGAACATGCCCTTCTGCTCAAACAATGTGACATTGAAAGCCAGTTACATAGAATCACAGAATGGTGGGGTATGGAAGGGACCTCAGGAGATCATCCAGTCCAACCCCCCTGCCAAAGCAGGTGTTGCACAGGAAAGTGTCCAGGTGGGTTTTTAACACCTCCAGAGATGGAGACTCCACACTCTCTCTGGGCAGCCTGTCCCAGGGCTCCGGCACCCTCACAGGAAAGAAGTTTTTCCTCATGTTTAAGCAGAACCTCCTGTGTTCCAGTTTGTGCCCATTGTCCCTTGTCCTGTCACTGGGCACCACCGAGAAGAGCCCGGCCCCATCCATTTGGCCCCCACATTTCAGATATTTATAGACATTGATCAGATCCCTTCTCAGTCTGCTCTTCTCCAGGCTGAACAGTCCCAGCTCTCTCAGCCTCTCCTCATACAGGAGATGCTCCAGCCCCTCATCATCTTTGTGGCCCTACATGTTAGTTGGGCCTAGTCAAGTTTATAGTCTAAAACAGTTAAGGGAAGACTTGAGGCATTGAAACATTGCCATAGGGTAGATAAGGTGGTGATGGTGGAATAAACCAGTTCTGTGGAGACAGAAGTGGTGTAAACAGGCTAAGAGACAAACCAAGTGTGTGCAGGAGAAAAGTTCAACTAAAGGACACAGTGACAGAAGTTTCACGACCACCAGAGGACCCACCCAAAGATGATCCGTGTGCATGTGAAAAGGACATTTACATATATTAATGGATTCTTGGAAATGTATGAATATGTAAATGATTTCTTGGAAAAGTAATGAATATGCATGTTTTAATAGTATAAAGCTTCTGTAGAGACATGAGTTGGCATGCACGAGAGCTGGAGCGATCCCCCATGCATCCAGTGCTGTAATAAAGAATGCCGGCTTCTTCAGATGGCACTGGTGTGAAGAATTCATTCCCGATTTTGGTGACCCTAGGATTGTTTTGGAGTTCTAATAGAGTTTGCTTCTGGTTTTTAAGTTAAAAGAAAGGCTTATGTTAGATGTTTTTCCTTTTCCAGTCATTGTAGGTCTTCGACAAAAACTGAGTCATTGCTTATCACAGTATAAGACCGAAAGTTGTTCATATATTTTCTGGTCAATTTAGAGGAAAGGGAACAGAAAAAGACTGTCGTTAACCTCAAAAATACATGTTATATTGGAAAGGCTCCAGTTACTCTCTGCCAAGCACATGCATCATTTGGTGGCTTCCCGTATAACCTCAGCTGATCATACACATCACATCCTCATAGCACATTTGCTCCAGAATAAACTGTAGAATCTGGCTCTGCCTACACAGCAAGAGGCAGTACCAAAACTGGTGAAAACGTGACATGAAAGCATAAGGCTCTGAAATCAGTAAGAAGATATATGGAGGGGTGGGAAGCATACAACTGTTGCTAATTTCCACATGTGCAGGAGGAGGGTAACTGAAAGCTTTCATTCTGTGCAAACAAAATAAAAACTATGCACATTCAGTAGAAGTTTGGGTTGATTGTATTTTTGTTTGTTTATTTTTTTAAAACAGTTATTAAAAGAGACTGCAAAAATAACCTGTTAGTTAACTTCATGCACCAAGGGAGGTGAACTGAAGCACTGAGATGTCAGGTATTACCTCCAAGGCTTTTGTCTTTTCATCTTCTGCTTTCTTATGCTGAAGCTGTTGTTCCTCAAACAAACCTCGTAGCTCCATTTCCTTCAGCTGTGCAGTCTGCGAGTCTTCAAGCGCAGCTGTCAAATCCTTTTCTTTCTTTTCTAATTCAAAACTGCAAAGTTCAAAATGACACTTCTGTTTATGTTCGGAAAAGAACATCTTTCACCAGCAACACAAGCAAGGCATTTTGGGTTATTTTTTGTGAGTTGGTCTATTGCTTGTTTTTTTAAGATGGCCTCTGATCTTTCTAAAAAGGATCAAGGTTTCAAGTGACAGCTATTTAGCATGTGAAAATATTTACCTCCCTGCAAGCACAGCTAGAATTGCTCTATTTATAATAATTAAGAGACAGGGAGAAGTTCTCTATCCTGGTTGAGCAAAAATGTTGTCCTGTGAGAGGAAGGAAAAACACTGGTACACACTACGAATAAGGCAGGGGTCTGGGGAAGAAAAATCACATACACAAGATGACAGGCAAACAGAAGTACCAACCAAAAGACTACAAGAAAAGCTGCAGGTGTGGGTACATCAGGGACACAGGGATCGATCTATCTACTCAGTCCACTTTTAGTGCACCCATGCAACATGCACTTGCCTCCACAACCTTCTCCGTCAAGGTAAATATGCAAATGTGACTTGAAGAATAAATACATTGAAGCAGTTAGAAAAGAAAAATTAACATATCCATGAAAAGTGAGAAGTTAGTTTTCCTCCTTGTGTTTCCAAGTGCTAAGCTATTTGTGGATCCAGTGAGTATAAAGCTCTTTCAGACTTGTTGATAGATAAATTAAAACAAATGAATAAATCTATTTCTCACCGTAACTGCTTTCTTTCCCTCTGAAGCTCTTCTAAGGATTTCTGCAGCCTTTCATTCTCTTGTTTAGTTTCACAAAGCTCTGATTTCAGGGCTGCTTTTTCTTGATTCAATAGATCGCGTGTTTCAGAGGCTCTCTTCTGCTCCTCAGACAGGGTGCTGTGCAAGTCACTTATGATTGATTTTTCCTGCTAATATTCTAATAACGCAACTAGAATAGGAAAACGTTACCAGTTATTTGTATTATGGAGAACTTGACAATATGTTATCAGTGACACTGGTTCAAATTGGAGGGGTGTCCTGGTGTGAGCTGGGCCAGAGCTGGTTCTGTTCAGCAGCTGGAACAGCGCTGTGTTTTGCTTTCAGCTGGGATTGGTTAGGAGAGAAACACTGAGAACATCCCCATGTGGCATTTGTGTCCCTGGCACTGAAGGACTTTGTGTTTGTCCGTCTACAAGCGCAAGATCTCAGGGGTGAGGAATATTGAACTGGATCAGCTCCACGGGCATTGGGCTCTGCCAGGGGGCTGTTCCATCTCCTGTCCCCCATGGGCAGGAGATCCATGAGGGGCTCTTCCTCTCTTGCTCTCTCTGGCTTTGGCTCGGGCTCTGGCTCTCCCGGGATTGCGGTTTCGGGTCGGGATTGTGGCTCCTCCGGGATCGTGATCTGGGAACGGGCCGGGCTTGGTCAGTGGGTGGTGAGCAATGGCACTGGGTGTCACTCATTTGCATATTTAATTACTATTATTATTATTATCATTACTATTTTAATCTCACATTAATATTTTAAGTTTTCTTTTATTTCCATGATTAAATTGTTCTTATCTCACCCTACAAGTCTCCTTACCCTTGTCCCCTAGTTCTCTCCCCTATCCCTTGGGGATGGCAGGGGGAGAGTGAGCGAGCGGCTGCGTGTGGCCACCAGCCCAGTGCTGCCCAGTGCAACCACCACAAGGAGAGGGGGGGTGGGGAGGGGCGGGGCATGGGAAATAAACTTTATTCTTGTCTGGAGAATTCATTTCTTTTCAAACATGCTATGAATGAGCAGAACGATGCATAACCAGGCAAAGTGAGAAGAACATGAAAGCTGCTGCAATGTAGTAACCTGTTCCTAATGGATTCTAAACCTCATTAAGCAAACTCTTCCATTTACGAGCAGACATATATATAAAGAACTTCCCGAAAGCAAACAAGGGTATTTTATGGTCCTTGATGGGTTTCCTACATGTGTACTATTTAACAGTCACCCTTTAGTTGCGTTGCTTTGTGTTATTTTAAAGCTTCTCTCTGCTTTTCACAGATTTTTCTTAACTATTAACGTTAAAAAGAAGAATCCCTTCCATTGCTACAGTCCTAGGAAACCTGAGTGCCGTAGTAAAACTGAAGAACTGTACAGCATCTGCTTCTTTGCAAAACAGGTTTTTTTGCCTTTTATCTCATAGGCACAAAAAAAAAAAAAATAAAAAAGGAAAGTATCGACACAGAAGACCAGATAACAAGAACTTGGTGATTGAGACCAGATAACAAGAACTTGGTGATTGAGACCAGATAACAAGAATTTGGGGATTGAGACCAGATAACAAGAACTTGGGGATTACTACCTTTCCTCCGAAGCTGGTGTTCTTGTTTGCTACCATGATCTTCTGCCTTGGTCAGGGTTTCCTGTAACTGCTGTAGCTTCTCCTGGTTCTGCAGATGTGTCATGCGTAGTTGAGCTCGGAGGTCCTGTATTTCAGAGAGCAAGCTATTCCGGTCTGAGGAGAAAAGGTGCTCTACAAGCATCTGCCTCTGTTCTTCCTGAAAACAAACCAAGACCCGTTAAACCTACAAGGCTATTCCCGTATATTCTACAAAGGTTTAGATTAGACATTACGAAGAAATTCCTTGCTATGAGGGTGGTGAGACACTGGCCCAGGTTGCCCAAGGAAGCTGTGGCTGCTCCTCCCTGGAATTGTTGAAGGCCAGGTTGGATGAGGCTTTGAGCAACCTGGTCTAGTGGAAGGTGTCCCTGCTGATGGCAGGGGGGTTGGGACTGGATGAGCTTTAAGGTCCCTTCCATCCCAAACCAGTCTGGGATTCAATGATAAAGATAAACCATAGGGAAACCCTTGCAGTACAAGTTTTATACGGAGGCAACTTAAAATGACTAAGTTCATGCGTCATGTTAACATTAAGTAAAAAAAAACAAAAAACAAAAACCAAACACTTCACTAGATCTGAAATAAAGTAATAGATATTAATAATAGTTTGTATATCAAAGTTATGACAAACCATCTGTTCTGAATCTGAAAACTAAATATTATCAGCAGAAAATCTCAATCAGATTCAGAGTTAGCTCAGTATATATCCTTTGAAGAAAAGTCTATGAAGCTCTAGATTAAATTCTTCCCCTCCTTCCCTTTTTATCAAATATTTCCTTTTCACTATCACAATCTCCATTTTACTATTTCTTCTAGGTGCCAGATAAAATAATCAATAGGCTTTGTAAGACAACACACGAAGTCTGAGAAAAATGGTACCAAAACATAGACTACAAAAGCCTACTGATCCCATACGATCATGCCAGATAAAATAATCAATAGGCTTTGCAAGACAACACATGAAGTCTGAAAAAAATGGTACCAAAACAGACTACAAAAGCCTACTGATCCCATACGATCTGGATTAACACACACGATAAGATTTAACAACAGGAGTAATAAAACTGTAAAAACCTTAAAAAATACAGGGGAATAAAATAAGTTATTTGTGAGCATAACACTTTAAAAGGTTTTCTTACTTGTTGTTTCATGATATACTCCAGTTTTTCCACCAATGGACGTTCATCACCAGAGAAGTGAGACTTCAGGTCAATTTGCAACACATTTCTCTCCTCAAACACGCTCTGTACTGCTCGCAGAAGTTCTCCTCTCCAGTCAGCAGCAATACCTGAATGTTCCTGTTAAAAATATATATATATTTTTTTTTAAATGGTAGATCTCAATCTCTAACCTACTGTCTTTCTTATCATTACTCTGTAAGAGCATACATATTTGTTAATTTAAGCAGACCAAAGGAGTTTAAAGAGGCCTGGTCACATCTCAGAAACGCCTCATACATATACACACACCAACTCACACTAACTACATAACAATATACATTTCTATACATACAAAAAACTGGTTACCTTGCTTTAAAGGATATTTTTTTGTCATACCTTGTCTTCTCTATCTGCCACCTTGCTAAGATAATCTTTCAGTGACTGCATAGCATCCAGCAAGGCTAAGCCCTCCTTCTGCCACCCCTCCATCGCCACTCCACTCTGATGAACATTCTTCAGCTCTGTAAAACCAAAGGGATGTTCTGACAAAGCCAGGATCTTGCGGCTCTCCTCATATACCATCTTCAGCACAGCCTGAGAAGGAAAAAAAAATGATAATGAGTAACACTAGGAAGCAGGCAGCAGCATCCTGACAGTGTTCAGAGTAGGACAGTGTGTTTGGTTTGGGGGGG